GGGGGGCAGCCAGCTTAGAAGACAAAAAGTAGCTCACTCAAACATCACAGAACAGACAGGGACACTTCAAGCGAGTTAAGTGGGCAAAGGGGTGTCAGCAGTCATCGGGCCCGGAACAAGCTCACCTCATCTTTCCTATCACCCTAAAAAGCCGCACTGACTTAAAAGGGTCTGACAGCGCGTTTTTGTTTTGGGGGGTTGGAGGCGAGCAACTTCCCATGCGGCAACTTTGTTCTGATCCCCGTCTGAGCCGCCAACGAAGTCAGCCGTACAGCGTGCTGCCTCGTCGTATGTGGTCTGCTGAGACATACCCGCAACTGCCGAGAGAGAGCATTAGTGTCTAGGACATAGCACTACTGGCACTCCGGGCGTTCGTGCTCTGAACTCTGCCGGTACGAGGCCGTCATCGTCTAAACGCACGCCTCAAAACTCTCCTGCAAGCCTGCTCTAATTAGACAAGTATATGTAGTACAAAGTACTGCCACTGCTATCAGCAGTCGATATGCTTTCTTCCGTAACACAATTCATGCCCAGCCCGGCTAGGCAATCTTCAAAGACTTGGTGGGTGGATAAGTATGACTTACACGGGTCCTAAACAGAACATGAGACCAGGAACTGCCCGCGATGCAAGTGTCCTTGCACCATGCTGTAGAGAAAAATGATCAGATTTAAGATGAGGAGTAAGATTGAAGCAAGTTAGGGTTAGGCTTAAGGTAGGAGCTGTGGTCCAGGTTACTGTTATTGCCAGTGTTTGTGGTACAACACAGGAATATTCGCTCTTACTGAAATTATGCACGAGACTAACTTTATTACTTGGGTGGGGCATTCCCATTCGCACGCCCTGCTTATGGTGCCATATAAGTCATCCTTAATGGTCGGTGTGTGTGATTCTTTGGATTCGCCCGAGTAGTGTATTCGTAAGTATGGCAGTTAACCGTAAACACGTGCTCGAATGAATCAGGAATATATGAGCTTGCCTGTTAATTAATAGTTCTATGACGGATTATGCATTACAGCCGTTTCACGCCTTTATGTTTTTTGACTCTGACAATTAACTGATAACGTCTCAAACTAGACCAGACGTCTCAAACAGACCAATTGCTTCCAGAACCGGTCTGATGAGTGGCATTACCCGCAACGAAAATTTTAAATCAGCCGGACATTTTCAAGTTTCGTAGCGGAACTTCACCCGCATTTGCCTATTCTTCTAAATTTTCTCATCGCTCAGTTCGGAAATTAACCTAAACGCTTGCTGGCTTCTCCTACAAAGCCCCTGAAGCGCGCGATAGATTGGATTTTCCAAGTAATTATTTTAAGCATCTCTCATTAGTAATGTGTCTCTCTTCCGTGCTTTATCTCACTCTTAGTCTCGGAACCCTCAAACCTACCGCAAGACCTCAAAGAGCGCGTATTGTCCGCAAGTAATTTGCAAGGGGTTTTCAAGATACGTCATCTTGTACCTTAGAAAATATATGGAAAT